ATTTAACCCCCTGGAGGTGGTCTCGAATGAAACTGAAAGTACTTGGGAAAATAAAAATTACTTGAAAGAAAATTTTGGTATTTTTCTTAATCAATATTCTAAGGCTACCCAGAAATTAATCTATGAACTTGAAAGGATCACAACCAAAATTAATTGACATGATATGTCTAAATTATTTAACCAAACTTGTGTGAATGAAAATATGCTGCCTAATTACACACCCGCATACACACACACACACACATTCATATAAATAAATAAATAATATATATATATATATATATATATATATATATATGGATATATTAATGTATATTTGGGTAACAACCTTTCTTATAAACAATTTTTTGATAAATATGACAGAGAAGGAAAATTTAATTGTTTTTTTATTTAGTTTTTCAACGTTTTTACATTTTCCATTTGGTGTGAATAAGGGAGAACTTTGAAAATGTAATTTGAAAATGGCTGAAGTAGTGGCCAAAAGCGCTTGGAACAATGGACATTATGGAAATTTTGGGTACTCCCTTACTCCTACGAAACAGAAAAATGGAAGAACACTGGAAAAACTAAATAAAAAAAAATAAATAAAAAAAACCTAAAAAAAAATTAATTGAATTTTCCTTGTCTTCCATATTTAACAAAAGATATATATATATATATATATATATATATATAAATATATATATATATATATATACATTCATTCATACGTATATATATACATACATACATCCATATACACACACAGACACACACACATATATATATATACATATATATATATAAATATATACAGGGTGCCCAGTAAAAAAGTGGCAAATTCAGAAATAAATTTATTTAGCTATCATGATTCAGGCACAAACATTTTGCCTGAATGTTCAACACAAAGTTGTAAGTATTTTAACCAGGAGGAGGCAGTATCTTTGCAGATAGTGTCAAAAGGAATTCCATTCCAAGGTTCAGTTAAGTTCCACTTCAATGAATCCATATTGACAATGTCCCAATGACAGTTTTGCAAGTGAGTTAGGAGTATCACTCCAGATGCAGTAAACCATAACATTCAGATCTGGGCTTTTAGAGGGTCACTGAGATGGATCAATTTAAAGCTGGTGTATTTTCTTGGAGAATACATTTGCCACTTTTTTACAGGACACCCAACACTCTGTATATATATATATATATATATATATATATATATATATATATATATATATATATATATATATAAATAAATAGATAGATAGATAGATCAAATCTAACAATCATAAAATATGTAGTAGAAAGTCTTTATAAATTTGAAATGTCTTCTTATTTATTGAGCTTCATCAAAAGGTTTGAGAGTGGAATGATTTGAACTTATTTTTGCATTTTTAAATTCTGTGTTGTTTTTTTTTTCATTGATTGTGTGAATGTCAAATGCATATATCTTCTACAATCAGCGTGTAGGTTTAATTTTGGAAATATTAATTCAGTTTAAGTGTATATTAAAAATTGTGTGTAATATGACAAATTTTGAAAGTGAAATATAAAAGGGGCTCCAATAATTTGGACTGATTTTAATGCGAATTAAGTTTAAGTGTCTAATGATTTCTTTCAGATTTGGCAGACATTTGGGTCTTACCATAACTTAAATAACATGATCCAATAAAGAAATAAACAAATTTTCACAAATAACACTGATTTATTTACTACTGATTTTAATCCATCTTAATGAAACACCCTCATATATGATCCATCTTAATGAAACACCCTTTAAAATATTTGGCTATGTCATCTTAAAGAATGCAAGATTTGTACACTTACAAACTGACAGAATCTAGTCTTACACACTTCACTTGCAACATTTATCCTATTATATCCAATATTTAATCCACACTTCAACTAAGCTAACATTACTGTTGTGGTGTCCTCCCTCTAAAGAGTCTATGTTGGACTCTTCCGCCCACTATAAGATTAGTAGGAGAGAAGGCCTTGGGGGAACAGTTGAATAGATAGAACGCTGGTCAACTGACACACACTCACTAGTCATATAATACTTTTCTCTTGTACTTACTGTATAATATATCATATATCTGTAACACTTGTTTTGTTATTTCTTTAGCCATTTACTTGGTCACAACATCTTGCAATCTATTTGACTGTTCCCCCAAGGCCTTCTCTTCTACTAATCTTGTAGTAGGTGGAAGAGACAAAATAGACACTTTAGAGGGAGGACACCACAACAATTACAGACATTAAAACCTACACACAGATGACAGAAAATATACACATGATGTTCACACAATGACTGAAAACAAAACATACTGTTATGAATAATCAAGAGTGGTCACCTCCTGTTTTCTAACTCTCCTATTTGATAGAGCTATTTCTGTTTACTGGGACTATAAAAGGACACTATGCGCGAACCTTGTATTCTCAGTTGAATAAAACCTTCTTAAAGCCTACATCTGCATACTTTTGTCATTACACATACATAATTAAAAAATTGCCGCAAAGACACTAGCATTAATAGAATCTATACATGATATCTATACATGGAATGAAAACAAAACCTAGTAGTTAAAAATTGATACAAACATAAATACTAATGCCAATATGCATGTGTTTCTATACAAACAGTGAACATACATACATATATATATATATATATATATATATATATATATATATATATATATATATATATATATATATATATATATATATATATATATATATATATATATATATATATATATAAAACTATATATATATATATATATGAAAATAAACCCATATATATATATATATATATATAATATAAAAAATATATATATAAATATGATTTTAAAACTATAACACATAAAAACTAACCCAATATACAATTTGTAAATAAAAAAATATCTATACACACATAAACACTAAGCCAATATACATGTAATATCTATACAGTGAACACAAAACAACTTATATATATATACATATATATATATATATATATATATATATATATTTATATATATATATATATATATATATATATATATATATATATATATATATATATATTATTTTATTTTAAAACTATAACTCCGGTAATGTCAAAAAAAAAAACAGATAATATAATATGTAAAAAAAAAAAATATTAGAAAAAACTTATATTAAGAAAAAAAAAACTTCAATAAAAAAAATAAAAGACTAAAAACAACCATACTGCTTGAAAAAAATCAACCACCACCACCACAGTGTCTAGCCAAAAGAAAAAACATTGACACAGTTACCTAAGTTGAATTAAAAATGCTCAATACACTAAATAGAGCAAAATTAGAATACCTAAGAGCCAGAACCTATCTACCTGGGTTTCACCTATCAGATCATCAGGATTATTATCCTGATTATTATCCTGGTGATCCAATAGGTGAAACCTAGATAGGTTCTTATTTTATATATATATATATATATATATATATATATTTATATATATATATATATATATATATATATATATATATATACACACACATATATATATTTTACATGTACATATATATATATATATATATATATACAAACATATATATATACATGTATATATATTTTTATATATATATATATATATATATTCAAGAAGAAGAAAATAAGGGGAATATATATATATATATATATATATGTACACATTTTTATATATTTATATACGTATATATATATACATATATATATATATATATATATATATATATATATATATATATATATATATATATATATATATATATATATATTATCTGTTGGTATATAATCCAAGTGAATCTAATAATATAAAATATTAAAAATTTTAAAACTGATCCACAAAAAAGACCACAATGTATTTATTATACCAGACCATATGTTAGTTGACAATGCCAACATAGTACTTCTTGGTCGAAATAGCTATTCTGATGAGGTAAATTTAGATTTCTATTTTATGTAATATATATATATATATATATATATATATATATATATATATATATATATATATATATATATATATAATTTAAAAAATAAAAAAATAACACTGAATTATTCCACTCACAAAATGTCTGATGAAATTAAATGAATAAGAAAACATTCCAAATCTATACAAAATTTTCTACTTGTTCCTTATTTTATCATATGTATAAATAAACATTTATATATTCAAACTTATTACTTATTGACTTTGATAGGCATTCACTTGAATATGTTGGTTTATTCCCTATTACAAATGATGTTAAATGTTTAATTCTTCAAGTGTTTAATTAGCATATTGAACAAACAAAATTCACATGATGGTCACAGGAAAATATTCATCAATTTCAATTTAACAGTTTCATTTCATAATTGGAACACCTTTTTATTAATTAATTTATTTTTATTCATGTGGCAAAGTTTGGTTGTTTTTAATGTTTTATTCATTTTTTTTTCACTAAGATGATATTTGTAGATTTTTAGAAAACAAAGAAACAGAATTATTTCATGGCAACTTGATTAGTTTTTTACATAAAAATCTATTATTAATATTTTTTTTTACTTCATCATATAAGCCATCTCTCTTTTGTCTTTCTTTCTTTACGTGGTAACAAATGCATTTTCAGATTTCATAAAATTGGTATGAAATCAAAAAATTACTAATTATATAGTTTTTCACATTTTATTTTAATTTTGCTTTTTTTGCTTTTTATTTGTTTTTGTTTTTAGTTTGCATCTTTATTTTTTGAATAAATTATAAATATGAATCCTGAATTTTTTTTAAAACATTTCTGAAAATCATTTTTTATTTAGTTAGGATATATTTGTTTTTTGTTTTTTTTGTTTTTTGTGTTTTTTTTCCTTTTTAGCTTATATAAGTAAATAAGTTAATTCTTTTTAAACCTTATTTTTAAAAATAATTAAACAGATAAAGCAATTCTATGAAATGATTTTAACTTATGAAAAAATGTAATAATAAGTCATTGTCCTTGTTTTTGGCAAATTTATTTTCTTTTTTTTAATGTGAAAAGGATTTTGAATTTATCTGTTCTTTCTTTCTCTCCTCCTTTCTTACTCTTATTCATTCTCTCTCACTCTTTTTTATTCTTTTAGTTCTTATTCTTTCTTTCTCTCCCCTTTATCAATTCTTATTCTTTCTCTCCTTCTTTACTCTTATTCTTTCTTTTATTCTCTCTGCTTTATTTCCCCACTTAAACTTCATTTTTAATATTTCCTCTCTATTCTCTTATGTGTTCACTCTCACTTCCTCTCTTGCTTACACTCTTTTTTTTCTCTCACACTTTATTCATTTTTTCTTTGCTTCTTTTCTCATAAAATCTTCTCTCTCACTATCTCACTTTTCCTTTCTAATTCTCTCTGCCAGATTTCTGCCTTTTTTCTCTTTTCTTCTCTCATGGAATTTTCTAATCTCTCATTCTCTCTCTTTCTCTCACCATTATTTAGTTTCTTTCTTTTTCTTTCCCATTTACATGATTTTTTTTTCTCTTTTCATTCTCTCTCTCATTTTCTCTTTGTTTTTTCCTCTTCTCTTTCTAAACTAAAATTTTCTCTTTCTTTCCCTTTTCTTCTCTTTACTCCTCAGTTTCGTTCTTCTCATTCTTTCTTTCTTATTTTCTGGCTCTCTTTCTCACAATATTTCTTTCCCTTTCACTCAAATGTTTGCCCTTTCTTTCTATTTTTTAAATTTTTTTTTTCCTTTTCTTGACAGTTTAAAAAAAATATGTGTTTGCTTTAATTTTCCTTAAGCATTTTTCAATTTTGTTTTTAAATAAAATTTTCTTTCATTTTCCTTTGGTTTCTCTTTCTTTTCAATCTTTTCACTTTCTTTGTCACCCCCCTCCCCATGTTTCCCTCTTCCCCCTTCATCCCTCCCTCTCCCTCCCCCTCTCACTTTTATTTTCCCTCTCATGGCACAGCTATAGATGCTGCTGACACAGAATCACATTCTTGGCGTGTCCTTAATGAATGCCATTGTGCTACTGCGGATCTCTGTGACTGCATCATTCGTGTCCAGTGCGTGATCTCGTGTGGACCCGTGGCCATCTTACCAAGGACGATACGGCCAACAAAATCATCCCGGCTCTTTGTGTTGTAATCCCAGACAGATATAACAAGGCTCGCCTTTTCCAGTTGCCGGGCTGACAAATTAAAACTGATAGACTCATTAAACACTGGGTCAATGGTGTTCTTTTTGCAGGATGTCTTCTTTGTCTTCATGATTTTTTCATTGACTATGAGTGACACTTTGACAAAGGGATCTGTGAATAGTCAAGAAGAAGAAAATTAAGGGGAATAAATAATTATCATTAAAACAAAAAAACAAAAAAAACAAATTGTTATGATGTTGATTTGGAGTTAGTAGAGACAAACGCCAAATAACACGTAACAATAAAAAGGGTTTTAATAGGTTGGTAAAAAGGTACAGAAATCGCCTGAGTAGTCAATAACTAGCTCAGCTAAGAACTTCCTGGTCTATCTATCTTCCGTCATGTTAACTGACGTGCCACTATTTAAAGTCTTTGTTCACAGACGCAGACAAGTTCATCTTCAAGAGGGGTGGTAGGTTTCCGACACAACAGAAAGAAAGAAAGAGAGAAAGAAAGAAAGAAAATGAATAAAGATTACAGATGCTTCTGGAATTAAGAAAGAAAGTGTTATGATGTTGATTTTGGGTTAGTAGAGACAAATGCCAAATAACACGTAACAATAAAAAGGGTTTTAATAGGTTGGTAAAAAGGTACAGAAATCACCGGAGTAGTCAATAACTAGCTCAGCTAAGACTTCTCGGTCTATCTGTCTTCCACGTTAACTGACATGCCACCATTTAAGTCCTTGTTCACAGACAAGTTCATCTTCCAGAGGGGTGGTAGGTTTCCGACACAACACAAATAGAATCAATAATTATTGTCAAATTCTAAAGTCTTCTCATTGTTTTTCACTCCCAGTATTTCCCTGGGTATGATAACAAACTATATCTGGCAGCAAAGCCTCTGGTCAGGAGATTGGAGTTTTTAAAGAGTATGAAACCACCTCTTAATTGCTGTTTTTCTCAGGTCCACCCTGGCCTGGGGTGATAGCACCTGTTAGGGTCCCAGCTATGGGCAAATAGTGAACCCCCAAACAAAAATCAACAGTACATTTTTATAATAAAATAACCAACAATAGGTTTTTCTAGAAAAATGACAATCAATGCAAAAGTAAAAAAATTTGAAAATACATTTTTATAGTAAAATTACCAACAATACATTTTATTATCTACATATTATATATCTAAAAAAACAGAACTTTACCTGAAAGTATAAAATTACATACAAAATATCTGTAGTTTGGAAGCATAAAATTACTTACCAAATATGCATTTTTCAGCATTAAATAATCCATAGAAGTTGATATATCACTAGACAAAATCAACTTAACATTAATATATATTTAAAGCAAAATGACCCATAATACCTTTTACCTGTAGTTGAAGCCATGAAATACGTAGATTTCAGCATTAAATATCCAATACAGTTTTTGATATCTCGCTAAATGAAATCAACCATTCCCAGTAACTCCTTGCATCTTAGTGGCATTATCACCTTGCTTAGGGTGAACTGATTAAAAAAAATCAAATATTAAATGTTATTTAGATAAAGCACTACAATCATTAATATTTATTTCTGTTTGAATTACTGGGATAAGGAGTTATTATTTACCTTACAGTTAAACTAATGTCCTCATCTTTGTTGTTATTATCACAAAGCTTCAGACATTGTGCCCTCTGACCTTTTTCTGGAGTAAATTGATCCCAGTAACCTTCAGGGAATTTCAAACTAAACCCTTTATCTATGAGATAGACTGTTCTTGTCCCACGATCAATGTCTATTTTTTTTAATCAAGTTCACCTCAAGCAAGGCAGTAAAGCCACTAAGACACAAGAGGTTATTGGGTGTAAAAGACTTAGAAAACAAAAACATTACTCAAAAGTGAGGCCACTAAGATGCAAGGGGCTACTTTGAGTGAAAGATAATAATAAAAACTTTAGAAGGAACTGGAAACCCAATCCTAAACAGAAATCAAGGGATAAACCTTTACTCCTGTTTAAATAACTGGGAAAGGAGTGTTAACCAGAGGATAACTGAATCTATCTATTCTTACTGAGAAAAAATGAATTAATAGTAAATAAAATTTCAGAGTTTAAGTGGAGACATTAAAAGTATAAAGTTGACAAAGACTTTACAAGGAACCAGAAAGCCAATCCTAAACAGGAAACAAGGGATAAATTGCTACTCCTGTTCAAAAGACAGGGGAGGAGTGTGAAGCAGATGATAGGTGGACCCATCTACTCCTACCGAGGAAAAATAGATAAATAGTAAATAAAATTTCAGTGTTTAACCGGAGACAATAGAGTATAGAGCTGAAGTAGACTTTAGAAGAAATTGGAAATCCAGTCCTAAACAGGAAATAAGGAGTGAACTACTACTCCTGTTCAAAAAACTGGAGATGAGGATCGATAAGAGAAAGCAGATTAGCACTACTTTTCTTTGTTTCTAATAAAATTTTCCTATATTTTGATTTCTGGAATGTTCCTTTCACTTTCACTTTCACTTTCACTTTCTGATGGGCCTTCAGACTTTTATGTCACACTTTGCATTGTCTTCTGCTATATTATGGAGATAGCTAAATTTTTATATCTGCTTCATTTTGATGTTTCCAATTCAAAGCTGACACCTTTGGCGATCTCTCTTCAACAACCTTACATTCCATCTCGTTATAGTTAATAGTTAGGCCTTTTTTCTCCCTTTTCTTTAATACTATGCTCTTTTTCATTCAGGGTTTATTATCAACACAATGCCACCCAATGTATGTTAAGATTATGGCCAGTGATTATAAGTCAGATCTTTTAATCATCTTAGGATTGCCTCACCCCTCTTTATATTTTCAATTAGCTCATTTCTTATCTACATGCAAATTTTTTTTTTCCAGTAAATATCATGGATTTATCTAAATTCGAGTTTACCTAGCAGTTCAAATAGGTCTTTGTGCTATACCTTATCAAATGCATTTGCTTAATCTGTGAAACAGACATTGGTCTTTCTGCGTTTGTACTGCTCATTCTAGTAGCATTCTGCTAATGAAGATAGGATATTTTTAAGCAGGGATTGCATTTTGAATAAAATATATAGCTTCATGTAGGAGGGGAATCTTAAAAATAGTTTTTAGAACTGTCATTTTTGGTGATTCCATTTTATGAGACAAAACAAAAAACTTCTTACCTGAGCCACCAACAAGATCAGTCTGCAGTAATTGCTTGGCTTTAATGATGTCAACATTCAAACGACCGGCACTGGGTAAATAATTTAAAGACAGCAATATCTCACCAAGATCTTGCCTCTCCTAAAAAAATTGAAACAAAAGAATGAGAAATTAAATAATATATATATATATATATATATATATATATATATATATATATATATATATATATATTCAATGTCAGATTATATATATATATATATATATATATATATATATATATATATATATACACAAAACTCCCATCAAATTCAATATATGAGGGTCAAGCAGATCAGTTCCTAGCAAACTGACAGCCTGACACCAGCACATGAGATTTGATTAGTGATGAATGTTTTGTACAGAACCATGCACTTTTTTTGAAGGGTCAAATACAGATACCTGGCACACACACACATATATATATATATATATATATATATATATATATATATATATATATATATATATATATATATTACTGAATATACATAATATACAATGTTGATAAAATGATTTTATCAATGTTGGATATTATGTATATTCACTAATATATACTTATAGCTCTGTTTCAAAATATTGACCACTGTATTTATAACACCTTAGGATTAAACATACTTACATACATGCAAGTATTTGTGCATGTATGTATATTTTTTCTACACATATATATATATATATATATATATATATATATATATATATATATATATTTATTACAATTCAATTCTGATTTGGTCTATGGCTAAAAAGAAAAAAACATAAAGGATTACCAGCAAGAAGTTAGAAATACTTCAAAATAACTTCAGTCAGGAGTTGCTGGGTTTTGTGGTATAGGTTAAATGTCAGGTATGTGAAGGGTAGTAGACGGATTACACTGAAGCGGGTTTCGGCAACAACAATCTTTGTCATTCAAGCTGCTTAATTTTGACACCAACCAATGAATACGAATATCTGGATGAAAGACCTCCATATATAAGGCCATCTGACCACATCAAATGATCAAGAACTCAGAGTTTCATTCACAAAAATACATTCTTCAATAATATATATATATATATATATATATATATATATAAAAGGCAGGATGTGTGTGTGTGTGTGTGTGTGTGTGTGTGTGTGTGTGTGTGTGTGTGTGTGTGTGTGTAACGAATGCACGGCCGCAATTTTCGACGGATTAGAACCAAAATGTACATGCACATGCTCCAAGTTAGCAGGAAGTCCAAGATTGACTTTGCATTTCCCAACTCCCATCGATAGTGAACATAATCGATTTTTTCATGCTACTACGGCAGTTTTCATGTAGTTTGCGGCCATTTTCTACTGGCCAGAGTGAAAGCCTATAGCTGGCTGCCACAAATAGGCAGGAAGATTCTGTTGGTCAGCGTGAGAGCGAACAGCTGACTGACACGAATGTTAACTAGCATGCAAAAAAATCGATAGCTGCATTCGTCACGAGTGGGAAAGA